GGCAGCGCATTAGCAGCGATTTTACTTATGGCTATAACTTTCTTCAGAATTTACCTATCATGATGAAATTTGGCATACGGACACATTAGTACTAATTGGATGTACCTACCAAAATTGATTTCAAAATTCCGAGAATTACGGAAGTTATAAGAAAAAACACGAATTGCGGGGGAGTGGGGGGTGCATCGAAAAAAAACTCAAACTCGTACTTTCTCGGTCTTAGGAGAATATGGAAACCAAGTTTGGTTATTCTAGCTCTTATACTTTCTGAGATCCTTGCGTTCATACGGACAGACGGACAGACAGACAGACGGACAGACAGACAGACGGACGGACAAGGCTATATCGACTCGGCTTCTCATCCTGATCAAGAATATATATACTTTGTGGGGTCTGCCACGCCTCCTTCTGTGTGTTACATACATGCGCACAAAACTAGTATAGCCTTTCACCCTTTGGGTACAGGCTATAAAAATAACAATGCTCGAACTCTCCTCTGCACTATCCAATCTCTCGGGTAAAACTCCTGGAATAGACAGAATTTCATACCCCATGATCAAAAATTCGTCCATCACACTAAAACAAAGGATCCTAGACCACTTTAACAACATATTTAACAACTACATCCCCCAAACCTACAAAACCAGTCTAACTGTTCCAATTTTAAAGCCAAATTCCGACAAAACTTCTATCAACTCATATAGACCAATTTCCCTAAATCCATGTTTAAGTAAGGTTCTAGACAAAATCATAGCAAGAAGATTATGGTGGTATGTCAATACCAAGAAATTAATTCACCCAAATCAATTAGGTTTTAGGCAAGGGAAAAGCGTTACTGACAATCTATTATATATAGACCATCAGATAACAAAATCCCTTACAGCTCACGCCCACAGCTCTATCATATCTTTAGACTTTTCTAAGGCTTTCGATAGATTAGACAGCCATTCAATTCTAAATCAACTAAGAGAGTGGGAAATAGGACCAAAAATGCAAAATTTCATAGCAAGCTACATGAAAAACAGGAAAATAATAACAAAAATCAGTACTCATATGTCAAATACATACTCTCTACACAACGGAATACCACAGGGATCACCAATTTCAGTCATTCTATTTCTCATAGCCTACAACAAATTAGCTAACATTATCCAACTACAAAAAAACATAAGCTTTTGTGCCTTTGCCGACGATTTCCAGTTATTAATTCACCACAATAGAGGAAAAAACCCAACAGTAAGCTTAAACGAACTTTTTAGCAATTTTCAAGAATGGTGCCTCCAATCCGGCGCCAATCTCTCCACAAACAAATGCAAACATATTCATATATGTAGAAAACATCAATGCAATAGCCAAATTATAATAAATAATCTGTCAATCCCACAAGTAAAAAAATTAAAAAAATATTAGGCATAACAATAAATAATAAATACAAATGGAACTCACACATAGAAAATTTAACTCCAGCACTACACAAAAGATTCAACATTTTAAAATGTCTCTCTTCAACCCGTTTCAATTGCAATACCTCCACCCTACTAAATATCTTAAAAGCACTAATAGTATCCAAAATAGACTATGGCTTAACCTTTTATGGTTACGCCCCAACAACACAAATCAAAAAAATACAGTCAATCCTTAATAGTGCCATAAGAATCTGCTTAGGGGCATTTAGAACAACACCCATTAACCACTTAATCATAGAGTCCAACATCCCGTACATAACAAGCAGAAGAGACCTGTTAACCTGCAAATTGGGCAAAAATTTAATCTTCTCAAAAAACTCCCTCCTAGAAAAAATAACAAAAAAACCAAATATAAACAAAATAGTATCGGTTAATTCAACAATCTCCAAAACGATTAGCATTTGCTCACTCCATTTCACACCATACAAGCCCCTAAAAATACTATCATCCACCAAACCATTTTGGCAATTCAACCAAGAAACTATCAACATCACCCTACACCACCATGTTACCAACCCTGCAATATACCAACAAAAATTCTTAGAATTTAAACACAACCACCAACAATACCAGTTCGTATACACAGATGGATCAAAATCCACTCACACAACAGCTTTTGCCATCACAACAGAACAATCTGTCCTCAAAATTGGAATCCTACCAACATATACATCAATATACTCAGCAGAAATAATTGCCATCCTAGAAGCTATTAATCTTATCAAAACAAAAAGGGGAAAGTTCATCATATGTTCTGACTCCTTATCTGCACTAAAATCGATCAGGAACATTGATAACCACGGCCTCTATGCGAAAATAATTAGAAATCTAATTATGCGCTCACCTAACAAAATAAAGCTTATGTGGATACCAAGCCATATCAACATTAAAGGTAATGAGCTCGCTGACTCAAACGCCAAGTCAGCTTACAAATTACCCCTCATCACCACAATTAATTACAATACAAACGACATCAACAAATATTACAAAACTCAATATACATCGGACCAACATAACCACAATCTTTGCTCCACCTGGTATAAAAAAATAAACCCAAAAAAGACTAACATTCAAAATATCTTGAAAAATTTATAACACAATGAACTCTCAAGGCTCGACCAAACCAAAATTATCAAACTAAGACTGGGTCACACAAAACTCACAAACGAACACTACTTAAATAAAAACATCTCCAAATTCTGTCCACTATGCCAAACAAACAGCCAGATAAATATTGAACACCTACTCATTCAATGTCCCACATTAACAGCCGCACGCACAAAATACCTACCTAGCTGATAATAACCCCATCCACATCCTCTCAAATCCTACAGCAGAAAACCTAAAAATAATAATAAATAATAATAATAAACTACATTTGGCATTTTTTATTTATTATTTAAACGCATCGTGCATCATTTAATCAAAATTATAATTTGGACCCCCTTTGGAAAACCTGCGTACGCCCTTGACGGACTGCACATACTACTCGGTTCTCTCTACGCACGGTTAAAACAGTAAAGAGAAACAAAACAAACCCCATGGATGCATATGTATGTACATATATGTATTTACATAGATACATATATAAATATGTATACATACATATGTTTGTATATATACAGGGGGCCATCGAGCACTGTTGTTTAATTGTAATAAATGGTTTTCTGTGGTTTTAAATCATAAATGAAATTTTTAAAACGAAAATCAACAACGGCAACTGCAGGTCATTGGTACGCTGTTATTCTTTCGTTCACATTTTTTTTATCATCTTTGCCTTTTTATTCCAAAGGCACAATGCCAAAAATTTACAGTTACCGTTGATATGCAACGACTGAGTAAGCGATAGTAAAGCAGAAACCGAATAACGGAGCTACGCATATTCTGCTTCGCATTGCGGGCAGATGTATGTATGTATGCACATATATAAGATGTTATTATTTAAATGTTCTGTTTATTGCTTTCAAACTTCGATGTATCGATATCGATAGTATCGGTGGATTCAGCTATCGAAAGTTGTACTCTAGGAAATTGAAATAGGCATTGTCAGTGCTATTTGATCGTGGTTCATCGCTGCGCAGCATTGACACGAGTGCCGTGTTTCATATTCCGAGTTCGTGCTTGATTGCGTATTGACTTAATAAGGCACGAAAAGACACAAATTTGAATTTATACTCTTATAATTATTCCCCTTTTCTGAACATAGTCTATTTTAAAACGTTGCGTTATCTCTATATACAAGTATATCAAACAGTTTGTCCTGACTGACTGATTGATTGGTGATCAACGCACAGCCCAAACGGTAAAAGCTAGGAAGCTGAAATTTGGACTCAAGTATCCTTTCATAGTGTGCATCACAGTGTAGGTGCGCACTAAGAAAGGCTTTTGGAAAATTCGATCTCAAAAGGGGGAAAACTAGCTTTAAAAATTTTAGTTATAGTGGTCATGTGTGTACGTTTAACGAAATATTTTGGCAAGAATAAAAATGTAACGGACTACTGAACAATTTTTTGACAAGAACAAATGAAATACAATTAAATACCTTAAATGCCTTCCTACTGGTAATTAATAAGGTGAAAATGTATAGGTAGGTCATGCACAAAAAAGTCAAAAACTTAAGACCTGGCTAAAAAAAAACGGGAGTGGTATAGGCGACTTTAAAAAAAAATTTATTTTGTTGCTGTGTCTGTAAAGAAGGCAGTGCTGTTAATTTTGCAACTTGTACATTAAGAATTTGAAGGTGAAGAGGCACACACAATTCTCGAATACCATTAAAAACATCCTTAGGCTTCATTTTTTTAAACATGTAATATTTAAAACTCAAAATTAAGTCTATTATGAGACAAATGCTCCTGTTACAACTATGAAGTTCGTACGTCGTATATCGGACGAGAGCGATGATCTCGTAGAGTTAGGGGAACTTATAAAATGTCTAGAAAAACCAATAGATTAAACTATTTTTCAAATATCAAAATGAAATAATAAATAAAGTATAAAATGAAAAATGTATTTTTCTAAGCACTTATTTTAAAATGTTTTGCTTTTGTACGCTTTTCTGCAATATATTTATTAGTTAGCATCACTGGTCCCAAATAATACTTCACTTCATAACTAATGTTATTTACTTTAAAAATATGTATACAAAACTAAAAACACCATTAGTTTTATAATCTCTATTAGTTATATAACTGGTTATATAATAGGCCCTCGAAAAGATATATGTATATGTACTGTGTACCAGTCAACTATAATTCAGGCCAAATAATATCTATGATTAGTTAATTTGCAATATCTCCTACTTGAAAAACTGTGAAGAACTCACAGCCTATTTAACTTATATTTTAGAGTTCAAGGGTCTTTTAATTTATTGTATAAGAGAGATATAAAGTGCGGCAAAATATAATAGCTTATGACAAATAATACCATCATTTTGGTATATTTTTTGGCAATGTGCTAGTATGTTTGGTATACAATATTCACAAAAAATATACACGCATATGAGTATTCTTATTTAACAATTCGGTAGCCCTGAATAGTTGCGCTAGTGCTAATAGGAAATGCTTAAGTAAATATGTACTTACATTTTGGATCCATTGCGGTCCATTCAATTATTGATTGAAATAAACAATTTGTATGCATGTAGCACAGCCATTCCAGCCTAATCCTCGCATACTTGAACCATATATGTACATATGTATGTATGTACATGCATATGTATCTATACAGAAGTTTAATTTATTTATGGTAAAAAACGAAAAGGAAATGGAAACGAAATGCGATACTAAATTACTGCTAGTAACAGCAAATGTGGGTAGCTTATTTGAAGATGTAAGTAATCAACAATTTTTTATGTGTGTTTATACATTTACTTATTAATAATATACTTTGTGGAATTTGCTTTTAGCCGTCCAGGCTCCAACAAATATGGCTAAAAGAATTTTTATCAAAGGTATCAGAAATCCAACCAATGTTTGTGGGCTTACATCTTCAAGAGGTGGGCGGGAAAACATACGAAAAGTCAATGGAATTCGTTCAGGAATTCATTCAGTCTTTATGCGATTCTATGACGGATTACACATTTGTGCGAATTTATATGGATGAAGATTTTAAGTCCGCTGAACACTTCACAGTAAGTGGCTTTGCCTTTTTGAAATACATACAACATATGGATGGATGTGCTATATGTATATATTTATTGCAGGCGCTAGGAAACATGTACTTTGTTCACACAGACCTGCAAAGTCTACGGGTTTGGAACTTCTTAACGCATGATTGGGAGAACAATTTAAACAAAACTGAAGATAAGCACGTTTACTCTGGCAATATTGAAACGATTCCAACCAAGGATAAATCTAAATTTCCTCAACATTTTTTTCCAGAAGTACTTAAATATGCTCGTTTATTCGTTTTATATATATACAATGTAACGAATTGTATTTTTTTACTCAATTAAGTGCAAATGGTCCCGAAAAGGATTTATGCGAACCCGGTGGGAAATTAATGGTACTGCTATTGATCTAGTCAACATACACTTATTTCATGATGCATCAAATTTAGCTGCATGTGAAGAATTTCCATCTGTTTACTGTAAGACCAGAAGAAGAGCCTTGGTACACACATTGGAACGGTAAAATGCTTATATTTGATAACACGTACCTGTCTGCTTAAAATAATCTTGTATTTAAAAAATAGCTTCTACTTGGATGATAAAAATGGCACAGTACCGTTTTTTCTATTTGGAGACTTTAATTTTAGATGTGACACTGAAGGTGTTGTAAAAGTAAGTAAATAAGTCTTCGTATTTCGCTTTATTTTATTACAATACTTTGCATTCTGAAAAAAGGAGTTAACTCAAAACTTAACCATACATCGCGTCCAAAGTGTGAAAAATGAAAACACTAAAGTCCACTATCGCAACATCACTGGTAACAATGTACTTACAGTGGGAAAAAAGGAATTTAGTCATGCAGATCATCAATTAAAATTTAAGGAAGATTGGGTAAGGTTTTGTTTTGTGTTTGCATAGAGATTAAATGAGTTTAAGATGGTTTTTTTAGTTAAAGAATTTTGATAGAGAACTGGAGCCACTCAAGGATATTTTGATAGAATACCCAATAACCTTTGTTCCGTCATATCCCTTTGAGGAGGATCCCGAAATGCCTACTGATTATATGTCAACGCGTTGTCCGTCTTGGTGTGATCGCATTTTGATGAGTCCTCATGTAAAAGATGTATTAACCGAGGATTGGGAACAGATGAATTATCAAAAAAGATACAACTTGATCGGAGAGGCTGTGTGCATGGGCGACCATAAGGTAATGCAACTCTTTATTTATTTTTTTACTTATATTCATTTAAAAGTCATTGCCGAAAATAGGGGAATTGTAAAATATAATCATATATTTTAATTATAAAAGGTATGTAGAAGCACTAGGAATTGTAAGCATATATATGTATATATATATATATATATATATATATATATATATATATATATATATATATATATATATATATATATATATATATATATCTATATATATATATATATATATATATATATATATATATATATATATATATATATATATATATATATATACATTTATATAGTCGTTAAACTTGCTATTCAATATTTCTTTAGAATTCTTTTTATAAATTAGATGAATTATTTAACAGTTAACTTAAGTTAAAGTTAACTGAACATAAAGATACACAGGGTATTCAATATTTTGACCGAACTAACTCTCACTTTATTTTTGTGTTGAGGGAAATTTGTATACAGAGTATACCTAAAAAGTACGAGAGCGTATTAGGTTTGCGGGAACCTGCTCTGCTAGTAGAGCATTCACAGAGATTACATTTATAACTATAACTTCCATTACAATTGACATACATATGTATCACAACAAAGCTTGACATGAGGACACAAAGCCACATTGCTTGCGTTGCGAGCAAGCTGACAGGTTTTCATAGTGAAAGACGAATTTGAAGCGTATTTATTTTCGTTCGTCACAATTTTTTTTTTAAATATCGATGTTTTATTCTCGATGGTTGATGTTCTTTGCTACTTGCCCATCACTGAATTTTTATACCCTGTACCCGTAGGGTAAAAAGGGTATATTAGGTTTGTGCAAAGTATGTAACATACAGAAGGAAGCATCTCCGACCCCATAAAGTATATATATTCTGAATCAGCATGACGAGAGAAATCGATCTAGACATGTCCGTCCGTCTGTCCGTCTGGATGAACGCAAGGATCTCAGAAACTATAAAAGCTAGAATAACCAAAGTTGGCATCCAGATTCTCCTAGGTCCGAGTAAGGACGAGTTTATTTTATTTTTTGGAATTTTCCCCCCCTTCCCCCGCTACAGAATTTCGTCAATAGCGTCCACATTTCAAATGCTACCTAAACCAAACCTTGCACACATAATTTCTATATAATTATCTACTGTTGGTTAAAATCAAATTATCAAATTATCAAATTCGGTCAATTCTAAGAAAAGTTATTAGCGAAACAAATTCTCGCCAGTACAACCCCCCCAAACTGCAGCAACAAGTTCGCTCTTCTTCCTCTTTTTGCTGCTGCTATGGGCGCATATAACTCAGTGACGGAAGTTTACCTGGGTACAGGGTATTACACTGTCGGGCTTGCTCGACTGTAGCGTTCTCTCTTGTTATTTTTGTATGTTATAGTACTTTCTTTGGTTTTTGTTATATTCTTTGAATTTGTGAAACTATCGTTTGTTTTGAAACCTTTTGTATTTAATACAAACCATTAGTTTTACAAATAAGAAGACAAATCAAAATAAAGTGCGCTATATATAGACATCAATAAAAATTTATTGAAAATTCGTTAGCAGAGATTGGACGCATCGATAAATCGATGTTCCTCCCCCAAAAACATCTAAATATCAATGTTTTTCCAGCTCTGACAGCGTCAGCTTCGTCTTCGCAAGCACTATGAACACTTTCGAGCGTGTTTATATGTTTGCTTGTACACAGTTTTTCATCTTCAGCTTCGTCTCAGCGCTTACGATGTTTGTACCCTAATTGTTAAATTTGAGTAAAAACAAAAAAAGTTATGCAAAATCACTAACAGCAGTAGAAATAAAATACCTAATTAATTTAGCTCTTACACATTCTGGAATCTTTGCGTTAATCCAAAAACAAACTTGCACTTTCTTGGGGTTAAAAGAGCCTGGATACCAAGTTTGGTTTTTATAGCCCTTATACTTTCGGAGATCCTTGCGTTCATACGGACAGGCAGACGGATATGGCTATATCGACTCGTCTTGTCATGCTGATCAATAATATATTTAATTTGGGGAGTCTGCCACGACTTCTGTGTGTTACATACATTCGTACAAAACTAGTACAGATACCGTTTGGGTATGAGGACTAGTGTCAAGTTTAAAATACATAAATAAGTAGTAACAAGAAAGGAACGCTAAAGTCGAGCAGGCTCAACTCTTAAATACCCTGTACCACCCCACAAAAAAAAGAAGTAAAAAAGCTAAAGTCGGGTGTCCCGACTTTGAAATACTCTGTACATATGTTTACAATAATTATAGAAAAAAAAAATAAGAAAATTTAAAAAAATTTGATCGATTTTACCTTTCTCGGTATTCGAACTCAAGTAAAGGGTATATAATTGCACATATACAAAGCAATTGCGTCTATGTGAGTGTATGTACATATGTTTATGCGCGTCTATTTGTGTCTGTGTAAGCATTTTCGCAGTCAACTAAACAGCAACATCAACAACAGCCGTGGGCAGCGCTTGGGCAGCGCTGCAGCAGCAAATATATTTATGGCTATAACTTCTTGTTAAATCGGTCTATCATAGTGAAACTTGGCATACAGACACATAATAACTAACTGGGAGTATTTGCTAAATTTTAGTTCGAAATTCCAAGAATTACGGGAGTTAGAGAAAATCGCATTTGCTGGGGAGAGGGGGAAGGGAGGGAAATTCCAAAATATACATTTTCTGCGTATTCACACAAGGCATCTTGGACTAAAATTTGGTGTTCCTAGGTCTTATAGTCTCCGAGATATAGGCGATTATACAAATGGAAAATCGGGAAAACCCCCATAGGGGGGAAGTGGGGGGAAAATCAAAAAAATAAAACAAACTCGTATAGCGTACACACATAAGGCATCTTTGTGCAAAATTTGGTGTGTGTACCTCTTATAGTCTCTGAGATCCAGGTGTTCATACGGACGGACAGACGGACAGTCGGACAGACAGGGATAAATCGACTCGTCTTGTCATGCTGATCAAGAATATATATACTTTGTGGGGTCTGCCACGCCTCCTTCTGCCTGTCACATTTTTCAGCTCGCGCAAACCTAATATACTCTTGTACATTTCATGTACAGAGTATAAAAATATATATATATATTAAACAAATTTAATTAATTAATTCAATCTATATATATAAAACAGTTTGTCCTGACTGACTGACTGACTGATTGGTGATCAACGCACAGCCCAAACGGTAAAGGCTAGGAAGCTGAAATTTGGACTCAAGTATCCTTTCATAGTCTAGGTCCCCACTAAGAAGGGATTTTAGAAAACTCGAGCTGCAAAGGGGGGAAAACAGGCTCCAACGTTTGTATGAAAAATCTACAGTTTTCATCTGATTAACTTCAAACTTAGTTTGTATACTCCAATTCCAATTCTTGTATACTTGGTTTTTTGATATTTTTTTTGGGGCCTAAAATATGGGAGTTTTCCTGTAAAAAAAATGTTGGGGCACAAAAGCAAACCGCGTCAACAGCCCACAGCCCACACGGTAAAAGCTAGGATGCTGAAATTTGGGCTCAAGTATCCTATCATGGTGTAGATGAGCACTAAGAAGGGATTTTGGAAAATTCGAGCTCCAAAGGGGGGAAAATTAGCTCCAAAGTTTGTTTGAAAAATCCGCATTTTTCAACCGATCGACTTAAAACTTAGTTTCTAAAATCAATTGAAGGATACAAACAAAACTGCATACTTAGATTTTCGAAATTTGTGTTGGAGCTTGAATTATTGGGGTTTTCTTGGGGCACAAAAGGAAACCGCGTCAACAGCCCACAGCCCACACGGTAAAAGCTAGGATGCTGAAATTTGGGCTCAAGTATCCTATCACTAAGAAGGGATTTTGGAAAATTCGAGCTCCAAAGGGGGGAAAACGAGCTCCAAAGTTTGTTTGCATTTTTCAACCGATCGACTTAAAACTTAGTTTCTAAAATCAATTAAAGGATACAAACAAAACTGCATACTCGGATTTTCGAAATTTGTGTTGGAGCTTGAATTATTGGGGTTTTAATATTTATTCACTATTTCAAATGAAAAGTTTTTGTTATAAATTTAGTCCGATCGATTTAAAATTTGGATAATGTAATCTACGTAACTAAATCTACAACTTTGCATTCAAGGATTTTCAAAACATGCATTTTACAAAGGCAGGCAGAACAAACAATACAAAATATCAAACAGTTGGGGACAACTAAGTATACATACACACACACACACACACATACAAACAGCTGTTCGTGTAGTTGCGTGCAAACGATTGAAATAGCCAAAGCAAAATGTGAGACACTAATGTGTGAATGTCCATAGATACATATGTATGTGCACATCTATGTACATATGTATCTACATATGTATGTATGTACATTCGTCTTGCACTGACAGACCAAGAAATGTTAATTAATTGAAAATTATATAACATTTTTAAAAGTAATTTTTTCTTTGTTTAGTGCATTTGGCATTAGTGTTTTCATTAATAACTTTATGCAGCAACAACAAATATCAAATAGTTGGGGACATCACATACACACACACACAACAAGCAACAGTTCGTGTCTATGTGTGCGGTTCTCTACGTACGGTTGAAAAAGTAAAGAGAAACATATGTACATACATATGTATGTATGCCTGTGTATGAATATAGCATGTATGTACATTCGTATTAATGTACACATTGGGCAATCGAACACAATTGTTTGATTGTAAAAAAAAAATAATGCTCTAAAAACAACAACAACTGCAAGTCATTAGCTCGCTCTTCTTCTTTCGTTTTGACCATTTAATGTTAATTGCAAAGGCAAAACGCCAAAAGTTTACAGTTACCGTCGCTAGGCAACGACTGCGTAAGCGATAGTAAAGCAGAAACCGAATAACGGAGCTACGCATATTCTGCTTCGCATTGCGGGCAGATGTATGTATGTATATGATTTGTTCTTATTGATGTCAATAAATAATTAGATTTTGTTATTTAAATATTCTGCTTATTGCATTCAAACTTCGATATTTTGATGGTATCGGTGCCAGTGCTTTTTGATCGTGGCTCATCGCTGCACGGCATTGACACGAGTGCCGTGTTTCATATTCCGAGTTTGTGCGTGGCCGTATTGACTCAATATGGCACGAAAAGACTCAAATGTGAATTTAAATTTGGACTCAAGTATCGTTTCATAGTATCCATCATAGTGTAGGAGCACACTAAGTAAGGCTTTTGGAAAATTCTAGCTCCAACGGGGGGAAAACGAGCTTTAAAAAATATTAGTTATAGTGGTCATGTTCGTTTAACGAAATAGTTTGTCAAGAACAAAAATGTAACGGACTACTGAACAATTTTTTGTCAAGAACAGAAAATGTTCATTTAAATACCTTAAATGCCTTCCTACTGGTAACCTTTAAGGTGAAAACATATGGGTAGGTTATGCACACACAAAATAAATACAATTGGAAACATATTGAGCCGGGTTAAGACGGGCAATACCTGCTAGTTAAATATAAAATATTTCATACACGCATACATACATTTACATTAACATCAGAATTGTGTCTATGCGTGCTTGTGTACTTGTACATACCCTCGCACAAAACTAATATACCCTTTTACCGTTTGGGTACAGGGTATAAAAAGTGGGGAAGCAAAAGTCGGGTGTCCCGACTTTGAAATACTCTGTACATATATAACTGGGCAGATATTCCGAATTTCAATTAAAAATTCCAAGAAATACGGGTGTTATGGAAAATCAGGTATTGCGGGCAATTTCCAAAATACACATTTTCTGCGTATTCACAAATCTCATCTATCTTTGTGCAAAATTTTGTGTCCCTCATAGTCTCTGAGATCCAGTTGTTCATACAGACGGACGGACAGATAGACAGGGATATATCGACTGTCTTGTCATACTGATCAAGAATACATATGTATACATTGTGGGGTCTGCCACGCTCTCTTCACGTTCTTGTACATTCCCCCATAGGGGGAAGTGGGGAGAAAATCGAAAAAATAAAACAAGCTCGTATAGCGTACACACATAAGGCATCTTTGTGCAAAATTTGGTGTCTCTAAATCTTATAGTCTCTGAGATCCACGTGTTCATACGGACGGACAGACAGGGTTAGATCGATTCGTCTTGTCACGCTGATCAAGAATATATATACTTTGTGAGGTCTGCCACGCCTCCTTCTGCCTGTTACATTTTTCAGCTCCCGCAAACCTAGTACAAACATACATATCATGTACAGAGTATAACTACCACGTTGTGTCTACGTTAAGGAACATTATTTTGAGTCAAAGGAATAACTACAAATGAATGAGTCTTAATTCTTTTTTTTTTTATTAAAATACTCTTTTAATATTAAAACAAATGTTTGTGTAATATTTTATGTTTTAAATATTGCCTTCAATTGAATTTCGCCACTTATTGTTGTAGATATTTAAAAAAATTTCTTTGTTTAATATTCTGCTGGTATGTATTATTCTATGTATATTCTAATATACCTGTACGATTTCTTATCTTCTTGTAATATAGCCCGTTTACCTAACAGTTCATCTAAAACCAAACAAAGGTACTTATAACAAACGCAATTGTCATACAAGTACGGCTTACAATAAACTTCTTTGCGAATTCTCGGAGTTTGCACAAGAAATGCAAGTTAATACGGAGCTTACATCAAGCAATTTAGCAGGAAGTTTAAGTCGCAAGAGCTCAATTCACTTACAAACGGTTGATCAGGACCTACTAAGTCCTAGTCGAAATGTGAATTCAGAGAACGCGTCGTCCAATCATTCTGCTGTTAGTATTAATATAATTGATTCGGATAATATCTATGTGTGCATATGTTCACAATTATCTAACAGTAGTACCTTGAAAACTGAATATTATGGAACAGTCGAAGCCAACGGAATGATTTGTCCGGTGTGTCGCAATATTATTAAAAAGCAATCACTCGATCATCGCTACAAATTAATATCAAAACGCGTAATCCTCTCTGAAAACATAATAGTGAATCGAATCGATACACAGCATCTCAACACTCCCTTCGATTATCAGCTTGATGATCCCTATACTCCCGAAAGTATCGAATCTCATTCGCCATACCCAGATGTAAATAGTATCTCCACAACCACCTCAAGTACAAGTCCGGTCGGACGCATATCACCAAGCTTGCAGATTTCTGTAGCAACTGAAGGTCTGGCTAACGGCGTATTTAAAAACAAGAAAACTCAGGACAACTACAACGTCTTTGGTTTAACCAAGGTGGAAACATCAATTCAAACCAACAGCAGAGAACATCAGTTAAGGGGTACTGTAACGCCTGGACAACTTAAGTCACGATTAGAAGATTTACAACGTTTGTCTATAAATAATATGTCTGCAGAAAACGAAAGCAGAGTTACTATTGGAAATACTAACGACCAGAGACGCGACTTAAAGCTTCTTCCTAAATGCTGCAATATTCAATAGCATTTCTATATTAAATATTTTAAAAATTAGCAAAGATTTTCCGTTCTTCATTTTAATTTACACTTTTATAATTATTTATCAGTTAAGTAATACTATGTAATGAATTTGTATATCACCATTAACAAATGAGATCGTACGAATCGTTATGCTAGGCAATTTGAATGTGCCATAACTATTACGAAAGTATTCAAGGTATTTAATTACTACATATGTGTTATTATCGCATGTCAGCGACTTAAATTCAATTTTTGTACACAAAGCCATCTATCTAACGATGCACTTATAGTACATATGTACACATACTTAATGTGTGTTCATACCAGTTAGGCACAATACTTACATACCTTCTAAATATTGACACCTTCCTCAGGCACAGCTTACCGTGCACTATGCAGGATAAAGTATTCCTGCAAGAAACTAATTAATTTTATACAGATTTTAATTCCACCTAAATAAGGGGTGTAAACCAATATAGAAATTAAATGTAACGTTTGTTTTTTGGTCTGCTTTTTAAATTGTTATGTAGTGTTTTTTTTTTAGTAAGTGTTATGTAATAAACAAAATATTTGTATTACAAATAAATTTTTATTTCCTTTAAGTTTTGTTTATTTCCTTATCCTGGTTTTTGGTAGTACAAAACTTATAAAATTTACATTCCTGACATAAGACTATTATTGTTGTTGTAGGGTTATCGATTCCTTCCATGTGCTCAATTGAAGTTCCAGAGTCGTTGAAGGCTTTAGTGAATGAAATGCTTGGAGATGAAATTTTATGGATGGAACAATCGCATGTGGAAGAGAGGCTACATTCAAAGTCCCATTATATTGCGGTAAAATCCATTGCATTCAAAGATCCCATACAGGATGAAGGAAATGCAGGCGAATGCAAGGGCGAGATAATTGAGAACAAGCCCACTTTGCTAAAGGAGACTACGGTTTAGATTGGTCTGCTACGTAACATATAAGTTACTTCATACATACATATGTATTGAGCTGTGTGTTATATTTTAAAAATTGCAACCAAAAATATTGTAGTTGTGTGTAATTGTAAAATCAGAAATTATGACGTTAAATATAAAAACTGCTTACAAAAAATATAATTGCCTAGTGTTCATATAAAAACGATATTTACTCGAATTGAAAAATGGCCGAATAACATACATAAGCGGACATGGTTTATTTGCATGGTAATTTCAACACTGCAGAACGAATAAAAAACTAAGCTTTATAGTCCAGAAACGTTTGAAATCGACCCCAAAAACAATCATCCTTCCATCTCTAACTATTCAATGAGCTTTTTAGCTTTAAAATATCGGCGAAGGTACAAAACCTGCCACGTAGCCAAGCCGAGCAAACAGCACATACTAAAAATACTGAAGAAGAGGACACGGCTATTAGTCTTTTCTGCAAAGAGTAAAGAATAATTATCTTAGCAATGTCATAATATATTAAAAAAACTATTGATTTTTTACCATTTGTATCACGCATCTCTTCTTCTCTTTTGCGCATCAACGCAAAATCTCTAACAATCGAATCAGATAGGTCCTCCAATCGTTTTAGGTCAACCTCTAAAGGCTTGAGTTTCGAGGCTTCTCCAATCTATGTAAAAGTATAATTGACTATTACTACCCCATGTTTTTTCTTATATGTATATTGGGTAAACTCACTCCTTCGTAACTTTTGGTCTCAACACCTTTTTTTGTTATCAGAGACACCTCCTGTGCAATCCCTCGTTGATCTTTAAAACAAAATAAAAAAAATTGGTTTTATACACTTGTGCATGTGGCAGCATATCGACTTACGTGGTGGCACCTTTGAAATAAAGCAGATTTCGTACGTGTCATACACCTCAGACATAAAGCTAAATTTTCCTTTGGTAATGTGTTCTTTCTGTGACAGTATGTGCCCTTTTGTATCGCGTGCCTTCAAGTTAGTAAAATTAAACATTTCTATAAATATATCTCTCAAGTATTTTATTTTGTACTTACAATATAGTCGATGACTTGCCCCGGCATGTCGGACACTTCATATTCGCCCATAACAAGTTGGTTCGCCTGAATATCCTCTTTTAGGCATTTTTGCGTGTTGGGCAACAGATGAAACATCACGCAATTAGTGGGCAAAATAAAGCCATAAATTGTAAACAAAACCAATATTGACCCTAACATTTTCCGCACTTATGAATACAAAACAAAGCAAACTAGGCAGCCCCAATAAAGATGAGGTGGCTTGAGATTTCTTCTTCTTATTACTAGACAGAGATGAGCAATATTTTTGTATGTGTTCCTTTATCACTGTGACAAGAAAGTATTTATGTCACATATGTACCATGTGTAACAGATAAAATGTCACGGTTAAGATTACGTATATACAAATTTGACTTTCGACTATATTGTTTGCTTGCTACTCTAAAAGAATAGTGTTTCTATACTTCTATTATAATTTCTACACTTTTTTCTCAAAATGATCACACATCAAAGGATATCTGGATCTTTTTAATAAGGTGGATGAGAATTTCCCGAATTGAAATAGGCACCTAAGCTGTCGGTTCTAATTAAAGAAATGTAAAATATAATAGGTATTATTTAAAGAAACGTTTCTTATAACGGAGTGTCACTAGATGCAATATCACTGATTTGTTACTGTCACGGCTAAATTTCAGTGATATTTAAATAACACTAGTGATATTTAGTATATGTATAATAGAATATACGAATATTGTCGGCTAGTTCACCAACTTTCAGAGAAAGGCAGTGAAATTTAATATTAGTCGAATGCTAGAGTGGCCCGCTCTTTGTGGGTAAAACTAAAAACGCATAGTTAGCAGTGATTTGGGAACAGTGGAAATAGCACAGCAAAAGGCATTCTTTATTTCAAGGTTCTTTAATGCTTAGAACAATTGTTTGCAATAAATGATTAACCTGCTCTAAATTAACCATGTTATTTAGAATCCATTTTATTATACAATAATGTAAATAAAAAAAGTATAATTTATCGTCAAATATTTGTAAAAATATCTAAATATCTTGTATACCGTTTGGAGTATGTAGGAAGATATAACATGGAGAATATAACATTGTTCAATTAGTTAAACTTGAATTAGTAAATGATTTGTATAAATTAGTGCATTTATGTTTGCAGCTTTAGCTTTGCTGTTTGCATTGATAAATGCAGATAAAAAGAGAGTTATTAACAGAGAATGAAAGGGATGTCGCGTTTTTATTATTTCCAAACTTAGACTACCGATTACAATAATCATCATAAGCGAAGCCTGCAGAGATGCCGCCGCTCCCACAAAAGTTCAGCGTTATCACCTCTTGTGCGGTAATTAAGGTTATTCTCACTCAGACGATGAATGTAGGGAATGCTGAGTATCGTGTCGTGGCTGCTGATATTTAGCAACGGTGATGTCGCTACTTCCGGGAACCGATTTTGAACGCTCTTGCGATTGAAGTAACGCGTACCAATTGCGGTGGCTTGGGAAGAGAAGATGCCAAGGTTTGTTCCATTTACCTTCATCGTGGCGCAGTCATCGTGGGTGAGTACTGCGCTATGATCGTTTATGATGATGATGCCGTCGTCCACTATGGTGCGCAACTGCTGCTCTGGAACTGCTTGCAGAATGTGGCTCTTTGTGAACAAATCGCCACGGCCAACATCTGTCCGTCGCAATTAGCCAACAGATTGTCGTGGACTTTCAAAATGTCTGTCATGGGGGTCGCTGTGATTTGGTCAGAGAGTGCGTATTCATAACATCAGAATGATCTATAGTTGTTGTGTTTATTACGTTTATCTTTTCTAAGATTAAAGGAAGCATAAGGTTCCCGATTCTGCAACTTCTAAATCAGATGCGGAAATTCTCGCAAATAAAAAGCCGATTGGCTGCTGATTTGACTAAGTCGGAAACGAGTTTTTATTCTAATTATAATGATTAGCCTAGGTGTGGGCGTGTGCCTTTTATGCACACAATCGATACAACTCCCATACATCGATATCTGTTACATTTCAATTACATTCGTGGGTTTCTTATCAGTCAGCTATTTACATTAGGGATGGGCATCGATATGGCAATATCGATATAATATCGATTTGATGATGGAAAATTTAAGTAAAATCCGATATATATTCAATGCGGTATATATCGAATGCATCGATTTTTATTACGATATATCTTCTCATCTCTTACATTATTTTCCCCGCTTTTTATGTACATATGTACTTCGTGAAGCTTTTTTGATTGCGCACTTCAAATTATGCCAAAGTATGTACATTTTAAACCTTTTTGTATATACTTAAATATTTATTGATACTTTTTTTGTTGGTTTCTTACAGAATCACCCAAAAACAAGCCAAATTTTGGCAATTTTTCACAAAAATTGATTCGGTGCAATTTTTGCAAAAAATAGTGAAAACGGCTGGTAACACAACCAACCTAAACGCACATGTGAAAACGAATCACAAAGGCGAAACGATTGAATGTGCAGCCTACAATTGAAAAAAGTTTTTCTGCGGTACTGCCTAACAGGTTGCAAAAAAATTTTGGATGATGAACAAAACATTCCAAGATACATCAGCTAAATGGAAATCCTATTTAATTGGTAAGAAAGTAACCCTTACTACTGACATATGGACGGAAACAATAAATGTGAAAAGTTATTTGGGAGTTACGGTCCACTTTGAAAGAGATTTGGAGCTCGTTTCCATTAATATTGGTGTGACCGAATTAACAGAGCAGCATACAGCTGCAAATATATTTGTTTGCGTAGAGTGGGGCATTCAGCTCCATAATGTTACGGCTGTGGTGACAGACAACGTAGCAAACATGACAAAAGCTGTGGGTGACCTTTTCGGAAAGCAAATGCACTTGCCCTGCGTAGCGCACACGCTCAACCTTGTAGCAAAATGTGCATTGAGTATTGAATCTGTCAAGCCAATAATTACAAATGCTCAACGCTATTGAGTTGACAACAGCAGAAAAACGTTTTGCTCTTGCTCTTGCCACTGGAATCCGCCACAGGGGACTTTTCGGGTCAGAACTACTGTACTGCACGTTTAGTAATCCCGATAATCAATAAAATGCAGGACGACATTGATAACATAATTTTAGCAGACCAAATAGCACAGCAATGTCGTAGTATTTTTTTAAAAACAAGCTTGTCGTAGCTGCAGCTATAAAAAAAAGCTGCCAAGTACGGGATTCTTGGATAATACCAGTGACATTGACCTTTTAGATGCTGAATCATATTATGAAGACGTTGTTGGTGGTGATCCAAGAACTTTTTGGGAAATGTTGGCTACGCTACAGAAACAACAAACTCCAAGCATGAATGGTAGGGACGAAGTGCCGCATTATCTCGCTTCACCATTGGCGGACCATAAATGCAATTCCTTAAAAATATGGAATTATGATAAGGATACATATCCAAGCCTTTTCAAACTGGCCTGTGAGTTTTTGCCTATTGTCGTCACGTCCGTACCGTGTGACCCCGATCCGAAACCGCTTAAACCCCGAAAAGCTATCACAAGCACTTTTCCTTGGCAGCTTGCCGAAAAGTGATTGGAAATTTTAATTTTACCTTTTAACCTAAAATGCATAAATGGATATGCGGGATATTTGTGTTTCAAAATTTATTAAATTTGACTGCACCGAAGTGAAAGCAGTTCCTTTTTATAGCCTGGGCCCAAAAGGTAAAAGGCTATACTAGTTTGAATTTGATCTCTAATGAAATTTTTTCATTACAAATATTTTATGTTCCTTATTATTTTTGTAATTTAATCAAATAATTAATTTGTTAAACTTTTGCCTTCATTTATATACATATATACATTTGTTTTTACTATAAACACCTAACATTTGTTGCTAAAACAACATATTTATTAAAAATATCTTTTATTTCATCATTTAAAAAAATTTAGCTGTTGAATATCGATATTTATATATTAATGTGAAATCGCCGATATTTGACATTTTCGATATGATATCCTAGAAGGTATTTTGTCCGATATAAATATCGGCATTTTCTTGTCGATATCCATCCCTAATTTACATAAACAATGAAATATCGGTTAAGTAATTCAAATCTGTTTACAATACTACTAATAATTATAGCAAGGCATCTTCTTTACATAAATATTCTCCCGGCCATGAGGAATTAATGTGAATTTAAATTATATCAGTCTTTCGAGCCATCGAGAGTGCACAACATGTTTAGTACATGTCTAGTGTCAATTTCCAGCAATTTCCTCATGCGGGATTGTGGAAACATTCCCGTTAATTTCATAGTCTCCTCAGTCATTCCCCTATTGTCCGTAAAGATGGTAGTGTGACGTAAGTATCCGTAGCCGTCCCAAAGTAGAATGTCCCCGTCCGATATGTAGTCCGCGTGCGAGTAGTCTATCACCCGTGCCGTGGTCATAGATATGATTGAAAGTATGATGAACGTAATCCCAAAATGTTGAAACTACTTTTGCTAAACCGGTAAAGAAAAAATTGTGTTTTAAATTCCACGGAGGTTCTCATTGTGGACCACCCTCCTTTTTTCCGATACACAAAGGCGATAGCTTGTTGCCAGGTTTGCGGTTTGTCTTCACCTTCGAGGACCACTTCGAAGACGCTGACACTGTTGATTTGCCCTGGCGTTCTGCTGAATTTGGGCACTTTCTTCTTCGTCGAATCGATGGTATAAGTCAAGGGTAAATGAATGTGAATCGTAACCGTGTCAGATTCTGGCTCCTCGCGACTGCACTGCCCGGTGTTCACGGTCTGACGCGACAGGTTTATAGAAAATCTTCGCCCTGTCTCATCAATGCGCGCTATCCAGCGCTTACTTTTTGCATTACGATTGCTGTCGGATAGCGAGAACGTTTGAGGCTGGTGGTTAGTAAAAATATTTATATCCCTCACCCCATAAAGGATGTGCCGCAATTGCCGCTGAAACGTCTGTGGTCAAGTCAAATGGTTTTCTATAGCCGGGGTAAATCAGTATAACGTCTTCTGACGTTAATATGTTTCTAATCTTCTGGAATGCGTGGCGCTGAGCATCGATGAACTGTATAGGGATCTTTTTAGACCTGTACTAGCTAATGGATCCGTTGGATTGGTTTAGCTATTTGATAAAGCAGCAGTAATAGCTTGCCACACTCAAAAAAGAGTTTACTTCAAACACCGTAGCGTATTCCCGAATGCTTTTTTCTCTGGATCTGACTTTGCA